AGTATCTCTTTGAATAGGTATATCTTGAAGGGCTTCGTACGCTTGAGTCCGAAATTGTCGTCCGCTTAAAGGTGTAGCTATACACTCGCTGGTAGAGAGTTTTCTCTTCTTGATTTGCGGTGACTGTGGTGATATCGTTAATTAATCCGTACGTTGTATGACCTGCGATGATTGAAGAACTTTCCTTGGGTCGTACGGATATAATCCAGTTCCTTTCCAGCTAGTTTCGATATATCGAGGTATAAGAACCTGTTCTCTTACTTTTGTATAGTATTCAATGAATTAACGGCGTTATACGGGTTGCGTTTCGTTGTATCTTGATAAATTAGCGATCTCTTTTCTATATAGTCGCTTTAAAACTGAAAAGACGCCAACATCAAGAGGTTGAAGGATATGCGATGAATGTAAAGGCATATAGACTAACTGAACATTATTGATAAAGTATTCGTACATAAAATCGATCGAAATATGACTGCTGGCGTTATCGTAAAGAAGAAGTCGTACGGTATCATTCGTCTAAGTCTGTGGAAGGAAGATCTCTCGTAACTAACTGAGTCCGACTTGATTTGAAGTAAATGCGTTCTCTGTACACCGAAAGTGCCAATTCGAAGGAGTATTGAGTGGAAACTAAGTAGACTAAAGATCTTTTCCTTTAAAAAGGATTAATGGATCAATCGTACGACCATCCGCAGAACAGGCTTCGATAATAGTAACCCAATCGCGATTTTCTGGACTTTTAATATATGAACGCTTTATAGTACTTCGTCCGATCACTCGTTGATTCGTACAGACTCCCATTCTAAGACCATATTCGTCAAAATTCCAGATATTTGTCGTACGAATAGAATATCGAGTAACGACCGCCAAAAAGTGATCAAAAAAGGCTTAAAGGGCTTTAGGGGAAGTATTCTCGGTATGAAGATATTCAATCTTCCTCCCTACCTTTAATCGTACGTCAGGATGACGATTTAAGAAGCGATTAATCTAATTAACACTAATTGAAGAGTCTCCTCCTAAGGACTGAGAAATAAGCCCTGCGAACTCGCGAACTTAAGCGAAAGAGGGTGGAGCGCCGGCGATATCTAGGTCGATAATCCATCGTATAAGAAGGTTCTCTTATACGGGGGATAGTGTTTGTTGCTCTTCTCTTGCTTCTTTTCGTGTACGCCCTCCTTTTAATCGTCGTCCGAGAGTGTCTCGACTGACACCGAACGCAGTCGCCGTTGCGCGAATTGAGGGATAGTCGCTACGTTGATACGCGTCTAACGCGTCTTGAAGGATTCGCTCGTTCTCGGAGGCCATGATTCTATAACTACAGAAGAAAAGGAGAGTAATTGGGTACGTACGAATGAATGGAATGAAAGGTAGTGGGTAATGGATGGCGCGTTCCACGGTGACGCGTTACACGGTTGGCGCATTACAAGGTGGTCCGACTTACCTAATCAACTCGGACATCTCAATTAAATTTTCTGCTAAATAATTCGCCTCACGTTCAAAATTGGTGTATTGTACCTTTGTGAGCTTCTCGGCGACTGATAGCGTCTCTTGTTAAGATATCAATCTTGCGGTGGCGTACCAAAAAGGGACAGCGCACGGAGGACTTGGACTGCCGCCGGCGGGATTTCCGAACAGAACACGGTTACTCCAAATCTGGGGAAACCAGGGAGGATCACTCGGTACATACTAGGTCGACCAAGGCCTGTTGTCTGCTATCTTGACCTCGTCGTTACTCGCAGGCGACCAATACCATAACATTGACCCGTCTACATCGCCGCATCTCCATGTCTCTGACCACGGCACTTCGACCGGTCGCACTCCCCTTCGGTGCGGGCCAAAGGCGCGATAATGCTTCTACAGACATCAATGCCCAAAGCCGACCCTTCCGTCACGAAGTCAGCTATCTCAACCTCCATCGCACGCTCACACGATTCCAACAATTGATCCTCCTCACGCCTTCTCCTTCCTCCGACGCCAGCGAACTGACGCCGCTACAAAAGCAAGTTCAAGCCGAATTGTGGTCCCCCTTGCCATACCATCGCACGAAATGGCTCCACAATATCGAGGGCGCCCGCACACTTCTTCTCCAGCTAGAGCGAAAGGCACAGGCGATTCGTGTACAGAGGACAAAATACGAGGCCATTAAAGATTTGGCGGAGAAGAGAGCGGTCATCAAGAAATTGAGGGGTCGTATCGAGGAGATTGGGAGGGAGGTTGAGATGATGGGCCCGGATGAGTGGAAGCCGCCCATTGTCGAAGACGGAGGGGAATCCCTCTACGACTTTCTGCAGGCGCATGTGCAGACGCGGTCACATACGTCGGCGGCCGAGGGTCAACCGACCAAGGAGGGGGCGCAGGATGGTCCGCTGCTCGAAGGAAAACCCGTCAAAAGTGTCGAGGAGGAACACCCAGGGGGACTTGCACAAAGGGAGAAGGACACGAGAGAAGAACTACTTGGCCCTTCGAGTCTGCGGCGACGAGTCAAGGGACAAGACAATACGAGCAAATCTGAGGCACAAGCTAGCGGAGTCTCAAAGCTGGCTGGGACAGAGCGATCACTGTTGGATTCTTCGCGTGTGCATGAAGACATTACAACCTCTCTGGTAAACATGGCAGCCCAGCTCAAGCAAGAGCAGAGGAAGCTTCAGTTCTCTCTGGAACAAGACAAGGGCATTCTAGGACGGGCAATTGAAGGACTAGATGTCAGTCTAAGCGGGATGGAGGCCGCGAGCAAGAACATGGCATTTCTGAAACGCATGAGCGAGGAAGAAGGGTGGTTTGGACGACTGAAGCTGTACGGCATGATCTTTGCGATGTGGGTGGTGGCGTTTCTGCTAGTGTTTGTGTGTCCCAAGTTGAGGTTTGGATGAGCAATAGCAGCGATGAATCTGTTGCACATGCCCAACCATACATACACGCAAAATGACGACAACTTCGACGAAGCCAGTTCAGAGATTTCTTGCCGCAGCAGCAAGTGCCTGACGATCTTCATGCCTGCAATGCCTGCGGAAAACACCGAACACACCAATAAGAAGAGGGAGCAATTCCTTGTCACGGGGGAATCTTCGTGAACCTTGGATGAAATCGGAGTAATCAAACATCGAGATAGGGCAGGTGTGGAGGGCACCATTCCAGAGTGGTGATGGGTGGCCGCAGATGGTGAGATGGGATTGCGTGTTTGTGAAGTGCAAATGCGCATCTTGATCTTCGGCTCCACCCAACGTTCGCCGATGACGTCGATGGCGGGCCACAGAGCCACCTTGGCACAAAGCACATGGCCTCTCGCGCCTCCTCCAACTGCGCTGCACTCAGTGTCGTGCCTGCTGAAGCAAGGTTCACCATCGAGGCAAACAGACTGCAGGTCCCGAGGGGTTGCCTATAAATTGTGCTCTGATCCCGGTTCATTCTTCTTTCATCCGACCAACTCTCCATCTCACACCAAACCGCTATTCAACAGCCACTCTTATTGATACAATCACCCAACACCAGAACAACTTACAGTCTTCAATATGTCTTCCAGCGACAACACCTCTTCCCTCAAGTCCGTTGTGGACACTGCCACTGGCTACGTTCAATCTGGTATTGCCGCTGTGACTGGTAGCACTGGCGACAAGGTGAGTCTTTTGTCATCGTCTTGTCGATGCAAGCCCGTCTGCTTACACGATATTTCAGGCCAAAGCCGAGGAGTATAAGAATAAAGGTGCCGCCGAGTCTGACCTTTCCCACACCGCCGCCAAGGCAGGCCCCTTCACCATCAGCTCTACGGGTGCTCCTGCCAAAGACAATTCCGAACGTACTCAAGGCCAATGGGATCAGACTGTTGGTAGTGCCAAGGAAACCATTGGCAATCTCGTTGGCAGCGAGGATCTGAAGCAACAAGGTCGCGAACAGAATTTGCAGGGCCAAGGGAAAGAGGCTAAGGGTCAACTGAGTGACCTCGGAAAGGGCATCAGCGATCGTACCCAAGGAGCTGTCGGTAGTGCCGTGGCGTCCTTGACTGGTGACCGCTCCGAGCAAGCCAAATACAACGAGATTCACGATGAAGGAAAGACCAGACAGCGCGGGGTCGAGTTGGATCTTGACAAGCAAGCCGCCGCTCAGCAGAAATAGATTGAACTGACAGCAGTTACCGATACGGATGCTGCAGCAGACGACTGATGGGGCGATGGGATATGCCAGGAAGGTGCGCACGCACGAGCGTTCCTAATGACGCCTTTGTATGATTAGTCTTAGCTTTATGATACCCCCAAATCCAGTTTCAGTCTACAGTGGTCTATGTATCATGCTCGACATGAAGCATTTCTTCTCTGACCCCCGCATTATGTAATCTCGCTGTCGAGGTCTTGGCCAATAGCAGGACGACCAGGTCCCAATACCAGAATCGCACCGTATTCGCCATCCAAACTGTCAGGAAACATTCTCGACTGGTTTGCTACGTCAATGGCAGGCGTGCCCCAGAAGACACTCAATTGGCTTTACGATGTATTGAAACGTGTACGAGATCACCATTGCTTATCCGTTCGAGTCTACTTGGCTAAGCGCAGACAGGAATATCACGACCCGAATCGAACGTACTCAGACCTTGCCCACGTCCTCGCCCGCAATCCGAGCTTTGCTCCTCGGACAGATGTTTACAGTACGTCGCTTGTGCCTAGAAAAGGAGGATGATATTGATAGACATGGCGCCCAGCATTTGAGAATGGAACGCCCGCGCTCCTCTTACAGTTCAAGGGCACCATCCCCGTCAACTTTAGAGGAAATACATATCGGTTTCCTATAGCGTTATGGGTACCGCATGCCTACCCTTACGAGGCGCCCATGTGCTATGTCACTCCGACGGAAGAAATGATGATTCGGCCTGGTCAACATGTCGGCGGAGATGGGAGAATATATCATCCATACCTGGCGCATTGGAGGGAACATTGGGAGGTAGGTTCAGAATCGAGACAACAGAAGAACTGGGGAGGGAGCAAGGACTTCTGAGACAGCTTTGATCTGGCTGACGGAATGCTGCGTATAGAGGTCGAACATACTCGATTTGATGTCCATCTTGTCCGACATTTTTGCCAAAGAACCACCAGTTATGTCCAGGTCACCACTTCAGCAACAGAGACCAGTACTGCCAAACCCTCCACCAGTGCCGCCTTTACCGAGGGAGATACAACCACTGCCGGCTTCAAATGTCCCAGGATCAAGCCCTCGTCCGCTTGCGCAGCAATCAGGCGCACCCGCCCCTCCACCTCCTCCGCCCAAACAACCTGCACACTCTGGCGTCCAAACTCCCGATTCAACGAGCCCAGGGGTTCCCGCGACTTCACGACCTGGGCGCTACGATGCTCCACCTCCTCTGCCACCTCACGCGCAAGGGCCTGACCAAAGGGCGCAACAACCACACGGAAGTGGCAACATCCAACGACCAGCCAGTGGTGCGAATTTCGTTCCTCAACGGTCCAGTGGCCTTCGACAGTCTATGTCTCCTCAACCTCCCTACCAGCAGCAGCAACATCCACAAGCTGCGTACGAATCCGCGCCATCTTCATACCCTCCTCAGCCGCCTCTGCCGGGTCAACCGCAGCAATATCTGCCAGCGCAGCACCATCCTCCACCTAGTCAAGGTCTAGGCCAACTCCCCGATCGCGTCAGACCACCGCCCACAGATCAGTATGGACAGATGCAAACACCAACACCATCACTTCCCTATGGTCAACCCCCTGGGCCACCTTTCTCGCAACAGTATCCAGTGCCACATGTACAATCGATACCGCACCAACCTTATCCAACACCACATCAACAATATCAACCAGCTCCTCAACCGGCTGTTGCGAAACAGGCAGCGACACCCAACCTTCTCGACTCGCCCTTTGATATCCCGCTGCCGGCACCCAATCCCCAGTCGGCCGACAACATTCCAGCCCCTCCTATACCGGTCAATCCAGAAAAGGAAGCTCTGTTGACGCATCTGTCTCACTTGGTCACAACGTCTCTCCACCAACAGATATCCCAGAACAACTCGGCATTGGCGCCGTTGGCTTCGCAGTATGCTGCTATGCAGACAACTATGAGCACTTTAAGCAGCGAATTGAATAACCTGAAGGCGTTACATGCGACAGTATCTAGCAATATTTCCGTTCTTCAGGCCTCTCTGACCAAGGCCGATCAAACGATATCGTCAGCGCACACCCGCGCATCCAAGAACGACATTCCGCACGTGGATGAGATGCTCACGGCCCCGACCATAGTCGCGCAGCAGCTATACGATGCTGCGTGCGAGGAACGGGGCATTGAAGCCGCAATCCTGTCTCTTCAAGAAGGCTTCGTGCGGGGACGCGTTGGGAGCGACATCTGGGCAAAGAAGACCAGAGAACTGGCTAGGGAAGAGTTTAAGCGACGGTGGATGGTGAACAAGGTGGGCAGGGGAATGGGACTGGACCTTGAAGCAGGTGCTTACGGACGATAACCAAGGCGCCTTGCCATCGACTGGGCTGGCCCATGCTGGTAAAGCGAAAATATCCTAGACACCGAGAAGTCACCAGGGTCAAGATACATTTGGACAGAAGAAGATTGGTTGCGATGGCTTATCTCTATCCTCCAGATATGATCGGCACCTTTCCTATAGACTGCACATCTGCTGCCTATTATGTTCCCTCATAGAATCCGGATCGGTAGAAAGAATGATGAAAATGAGGACATGATTGTTAAAATTTCTCTGTACTCTCCATGAGAGGATCCATTATGGAGCTGTTGGGTGGCTGTCTAGCTACTCGGTAGTCATTCGGGGCAGGTTGTTCAGCCTCGCTCAGCCTCGCCATATATACAACAGCCTTGGCAGCAAAAGACCAGGCGACAACGCCCGAACTGCGCCACTTTCAAACACTACTCCTCAGCCCAATGGACAGCACTTTCGCACCTGCTGCCTGATGCTGCTAAGCGATCAAAAATGTCGAGAACCATCTCAACTGCCACTTTTCTCCGTTGTTCTATCTTTTCGAAGCCAAACAAAATAGGCTGGTTTGGATCAAAGTCGTCTCGGAGACACAGCTTCAACTTTCAAAGGTCGTTCTGATGGAGGACAAGGATGCATCGACCCGGACTCAAGATCCACCTCCGTACAAACCGCTGAACCCAAATATACGAGAGATCAGGCTGATCCAATTCACCCCAATTGTATCTCCCGAGACTACTTCGGAGGCCGCGAACACTGTCGCATTCTCTTGCTCTGTCGATGTGTATTCATTAGACGCGTACACTGAGGAATACACTGCGTTCGAAGCTCAAATTGAAAGCGAATGTTCAGCTGCAAAGAAATTACAGGATTGGAAATCATCGCGTCGTGTATGTTCAGTGGCTCTCGCGGCTCGAGCCCCAGCTCTAAATATCCAACACAGGGAGCATACGCTGCTCGATTTCGATGGGGTGATTATGTGGCCATGTCTCATACATGGGGCGAGAAAAGTTTGTTTCGTCGGGTTTCGGTCAACGGTCGAGTGATCCAAGTGTCGCTGAATCTCGTCCAAGGGCTCACAGCCCTGAGTAAGTATCCGGCCATCGCTAGCGGCGGATTGAAAGTCTGGAACGACTTCCTTTGTCTTGACCAACAGAACAAGGATGAAGTGCAAAGGGAGTTGAAGAACATGGCAACCATCTTCTCAACAGCTTACGAGGTTGTGGCTTGGATTGGTCCTGCCCTTGACAGGGATGGGCTAGCTATGGTCAAACTTGAACAGATTGGAGCCGACTCCAAATCTGATGAGGAACTGTACGAAGATATTCGCTCCATGAGCCCCGAGGTATGGGCAGCACTCGCATTCTTCTGTGAGAGAGAATACTGGCGGCGAATGTGGGTTGTCCAAGAGTTGATTTTGGGAGGCCCAGAGACTGCCCTGCTCTGTGGCAACGACTCGGCGCCTCTACATGCCATGTGGCGGCTAGCGGCCGTGATCGTCAATAACGCTTCTACAGCTCATCGCCAACTTGCTTTGTCCCTCGACGAAGGGAACAGCTATTACGGCGATCTCCGACACAATACCCTCTCCGTCTGCTCGAGACTAATATATCTCCGGGGTATCGACAACTGTCTGAGAAAAGGTAGAGATTGCAACATCCTTCGTTTGCTGGACATATGTCGAGGATCCCTCCAACAAGATGCTCGTGACAAAGTGTATGGAATTCTTGGGTTGCTGCCACCACAAGTGACATCGCTCATTACACCCGATCTCGACAAGACAGCACACGAAGTGTACACAGACCTTGCGAGATCCACTATCCGAGGGACGAAGCGGCTGGATCTTCTGCAAAATTCCAGGCTTGATGCCACACACATCAAATATCCCACTTGGACTCCAGACCTGCTCATCAAGAATATGTCACATGCTCTGGGAACCCCAGGCATTGTAAATGCAGGTGGGGACCTTGACACGGTGCCAAACTTTTCTGCCGACGGACGATTTCTACACTGTCAAGGTCTTGTCATCGATGTCATTGACCATCTGACACCGCCTTTATGGCCACTAGTGCCAGTAACTTCTGAGGAGATCGAAGAATCGATTCCGCTGTCAACTTGCTCTCCAGGAGACATGTCAGAGCTCAAGGTGACACTCTGGAAGACTCTTGTTGGTGGGAGTGCTAACGGCGACTTCGATTCGCCCGCTGCTGAAGAATATGCTCAAATACTGGAATTCCATTGGCCACAGATCACCGACGAGGACGAGATCCCTGACGTTGCAGCCGGCATCATATCGGAAGGCTGGTGTACCTCCGATGAAAAGCAAGACTTGACCACATTTCTGCGCCTGCTGCATCGTGCTAGCCGAGACTTTGACGTCTGTGGACATGCTCTCGATAGCTTTTTCGGCCATGCCACACCACTCGTGAATGCTTCTGCCGAAACCAAGACGTCAAAGTCACAAACGATCAAGAAAGCGCTTCGTCAAGTGGGTAACACCATGAAACGTCGCCGCTTGGCTGTAATGAAAAATGAGAGACTGGGTGCGGTCGTCCGTCAAGCGCAACGAGGTGATCGTATTGCGGTGCTGCGGGGCTGCAGCACGCCGCTTGTCTTGAGACCGTCCAAGCTGCTGCCATCGGATCCTGGCTTCGAAAACATGGGAGATGCTGAAACATATGCGGTCGTCGGAGACTGCTATGTCCATGGCATCATGAACGGAGAAACAGTGACGGGAACAGAATCTTGGGACAATATCGTGCTCTGTTGAGCTGAGATGAATCTACCGCGGTTCGTCTTTTGACAACCAACTACCTGAGCACTCAAAATGATAGAGAACTCAAGAAGACCACGCAACTTTTTAATGACTCGTAAAACCGCATGTCCAAACGCTGGTGGCGTCTACGAGGACGAGGACTCACAGGCTGTCGCTGTCAGACACAGGACCCGTGTACGAGGGATCTTTAGCTTACCTGGTATACCTATCCGGTATGTTTGGCTGGGTATCCTACCTGTAGGTTACATATATACTGGGGGAATGTACATGCTTTGGGCTCGTCATGTTTATGTATTCCATTTCGTATTGGATGTTTTAGCCTGGGCAAGGTCGTGTCCATGGCGCGATCAGCATTGAGGTCTCTTTCATGTCCAGCCTTGGTTGTTGCCTTGTTCCTTGGATACTTGCTGCTACCAAGTCACCATCCTCGTTGCCGTGTGCGGCTGCTCAGCCTGTCTTTCTCTATGACCTCCGCCGCCACCGTCGTCGTCATCATCACATCGCCAGTGCCAGCCACAGATCCTACACCAACTGTACTACTCCACTACTCCCTTTCTGCCAATCCGGCCGCCGGAGTCCCTTGCACTGTGTAATTTCCAATTCAGCAGCAACCGGTAATGCGTTCTTGGCTCGAAAGAAAGAGAGAAAGACAAACCCATCCGTCTATCTGCCTGTCTTTCTGTCCGCCTGCCCCTCTGACCGACTTGCACCTCCATGTCAGGCTGTCTCCATCTGTGATCTGCCAAAAGCTGCGGACGCGGATCCCCCTTTGGCTGCTGTCACCCCGACCCCTGTGTCGAACCCATCGTCTGTCCTTTGCGATAAAAGTCGTGGTTAGCTCAAGACATTCTTATGTCGCCTGCTGCTTGATTCGTGTTGGTGTTTGTCTTCGCCTCACGATTGGACTCTTACCCGATTTCTTTTCGTTCCGGCCCGAGACCTCTGCCCCTTGTTTCTTCATCCTACCACGCCATATCACGCAATGTCTCCATACCATGTCCCACAAGCGACACGAAAAGAGAGCCCCAACGAGATGCAGATCTCTGCCACATCACAATCTCCATGCAAGCGTGTACGTTGCACTGCATTATAATCCGAAATCCATAGGATCAAAGTCTTTGTTCTCCTCGAATCCATTTGTCCAGTCGCATGAAACGCCCGGACCGGCAGTGCCAGTGGCAGACACAGCTGTTCCCATCTCAAAAGATCCGTCGCCCATGGTGATCATGTTTGTGTCTGTCGCCGTGTCATGGCTGCCACTGTCGGGCATCACGAACCCTTCTGGGTAGCCACTCGTGCTGACGGCTGTGTTCAAGAGCGTGCTCTCAAGTCCCGCGGCATTTTCACTCCCGCCGAGAGGCATACAAGTGTCCATTGCCGCAGGCAGAAACATGTCCATACCCATCATTTCACTGAACGTCATGTGACCAGCGTCAAGGAGGCCGATATCTCCAAACAGCGTGCCTGCAGGTGCATCTGCCATATTGTCCCAATTCATGTTGGGGTCATAATCCACCACTGGTGCGCCGAGAGAACGAAGCTCCTCTTCTGTGCGACGATTGGTCTCCGCGAGAGTCTCGGATATGGTGTTGGGACAAGACCCAGTCGAAATAGGCTGCTGCGGTGTCGGTAGATGTGATCGCAGTGCGGCTGGGGTGTCATATGCTGGTGTCTTGGTCGAAGATTGTGAACAAGACTTTTTCCGTGCCGACTTGTTTTTGGGAGTCTGTGAGGCTCGACCATTAGAAGTCTGAGTATTTTTGCGCGGGGTGCCAGAGCGAGGAGAACTGAGGGACGCTTTCGGGCCAGCTCGCGAATGTGTGGAGCGGCGTCGCGAGGCGGGAGTCGGAGTGTCTGGTACTCGCTCTCGGGCCGCATTTGGGCTGTATCCTAACAATTGCTGTTGTCTGTCGGCTCGGCGATGCAGACTTGCTCGTCGGCCTTGTGCCTGTTGCGGTGGCTGTTGTTGTGAGTTTGATGCACGGGAGTGCGACAGTGACTGCTGGAGTTGACCATGAAACTGGGTCTGCCCATGCATGTGCAGCTGCGGCTTGCTGTGATGTTGAATTTGACCACAAGCTTGGGTGTGCGGATGAGCTTGAAGCTGGGCTTGGTCAGGCATTTGATGTTGAGTTTGCATGCCCAGCATTGGTTGATCCTGGTCTGGCAACTGAAACATACCAAGGTATGCGCTTTCAGCCTGGGCATTAACAAAGCTGCCAACTGTAGACGGACCCTGAGTGTTGTTGGTTTCAATTCCATCTTGGCTCATGTGCCTGGCCTTGCGCTTTTTCCCAACCACAAAATCTTCTTCTGCCTCATTCTCAATCGCCACCATTGTACCACTGGGCAAAGGGACCGGGAACTCGAACCCGGTATAGCGGGCTACCGTGGATGGTGGTGGCGACGGATCGGTACGGTCTCGCTCGAGCCATTTGAAGTCCCTTACGATATCGTCGTTGAAATGTTCTGCCAAAGTCAATCCCATTGACTTTGTTGTTCGTGGTGTGTGTTGGAAGGCCTGGTGCGAACCGAATATGTCCATACGGGCACGCTTGGCTGATGGTTGCTCGGCGGACGAGGAGCCGTAGTCGAGGAAGCTGCTGCTACCGCCACCGCTGCTCAATAACTCATTCTTCACATTTGGTGTATTTGGTGCGGCCGTGTAATTTGTAGATACGGTGCGGCTTCTTTGATAAGCCATGAGCTGCATCTGGGTGTTTGTGAGTGACGAGTAACCTGGAAGAGCGGGCATACAAGTCGACACGCTGCCCATTGGAAGGGGTTGGCCAGGTGCTGGACTCGGAGAGTAAAGAGATCCCATCGAGACATTGTCGCCTGGAATCTGTTTCGCTGATGCGGAAGCAGGAAACCCAGGCATTTTGAAAGGACTGCCCAGTTTCTGGGTTGCCGGTGTATTCTGCTGAGGGGGCGAAGACCGTGAAATTGCCTCCGTGTTTGTAAGAGCATTTCCACCACTGCGCCTCTTCACGTTTTCTGATTCCTTCTTGAGAGAGGGGCTGCGAGGATGAAAATCGGCAAACTCTGCTGTCCTTGGTATCTCAATCGGAGAATTGGACATCGCCTCAATCAGCTTTTGAGAAGCGGAGCCAGGCGTGGCAGGTGAAGTAGCAGGTGCGGCAGACACATTGGTTTTGGGTGTGCTGAGGATGCCCGTTGCATCAGCAGCGACAGCATGAGAGGCTGTGCTGGCTCCTGCTTTCCCACTCGGCTCGTTGATAAGGTCTGAAGTTGCGGCCATATTGGACCAAGCTTCGTCGCCACCTTGAGTAGGGCTTGGACCTCTTTCGATGTACGCTTGCAACAACATTGCGAACTCATCATCGTCCGACTGACCAAAGACGGTGGCCGGATCTGCATCAGGAACCAGGCTTCCAAAGACATCCTCCAGTGTGCCGTTCGTCACATCATTCACATTGTCAGGGGCAATGTCCATCGCAGATTGATACAGCTGTGACGGATCACCGGCTACAAACGGGTCGGCCATGTCGGTGAGATATGGATGACCGTTTGCAGCATTTCCAGCTGACCCATTTGCTGTGTCCATGCCGTTTGAGTGTATATAAAAGGTTGACTCTAGCCTTGTACTCGATGGAGTAGTTGCTGGAGGGTCAAAACTGAACTGGTCGGAGTTGTCAAATTGCCCGAGATCCATCTTCGAAGGTGCAATGTGCACGTGACCGGGGATGAGACTGTTTGTAGGCTAACCATACGCAGAGATCAAGGGATAGTACAGGCTAACGATACAGAGGAAAACTGGGGTAATGGATGAGAGTTTGAAGATGAAAAGATTGAGAATGAGGGAGGAACGGTCAAGGACGGTGAGAAGAGCGACGATCGAAAACAGAATCAAACAAAATGCTCTCACCTGACCATGGTCACGGTTTGCGAGGTGTGGCAGAACCATCACATCACATCACATCTGCTGCAGGACAATAACAAACCCACCTATTGAGCCATTCTGCCAGACCTGTTTTCACACCCAGCCTCTTCCAGCAGGGATGATGCTGACAGTGAATTGAGACATGACCAGCCTCCTCACACCGCGTTTATTGTGAAGATTTGGGTGAATATGAATATCGACTTCAGCCAAGACCAGCGAGCCAAGGGTCGTATGTATGTTGTCGAGCATCGTTCGATTTGACCTGCAATCAATGCAGTATGTCGAACCAGCTCAACTTGAAGACATCTTCATCTTGTTTTGCATTACATCCGGGACAACCGAAGCAGGCACACACCACGATCCCACAGTCTGACTTGATGAGTCGGCCATCGCGGGCATGTTATCTTCAACCCACCTTGCCAGTCCTCCGAAATCCTACAACCCTGCATTGCGAAAAAACGCGAGATGGAGGGCTTTTCATCGCCGTGAAGCTTCTCAAATTCTCTTTCTCTCCAGGAAGAATCGGCCTTTGTTTGTCTTGCTTTGGAAAGAGTATCACGCCAGGAACGCGTGGCGGGGGAGGGATTATCATCAGAATTCGGGTGTCCGACAAAAGAGTTATACAAGAATCACGTCGAACGACTCTGAACAGGCTCACGTTCATTGTGGAAGATGCTGTCTGACATTTCATGGACATTCACATATCAAGAGGCAATTGAGAATGAACTTGAGTCTGAGATGGAGTTTGGAGTGAAGTCAATCCGGCAGATCTTCGGACTACATACTGCATCACGTGCCTGAGATCACGTGTGCAACCCCTTTTTCATACATATCCCTTGAGACCTTCATGCAGTGATGCGTCTGTTTCTCTCGCGTCGTGTCGACAAAGTGCCTCCGAAATCAGGACCGTTTCTGTGGTGCACGGGGATGCCATAATCTGTATACACAGCCCCTGCAATACTAGTGCAACCCGCACATCAATACGCGCAAAGACCGCCTCCCGCATCCTCCAGATCCCAAGCACCCGCCATCCCCACAATCTGCGGTTCATCAGCGTCCAGATTCTCGGCACGAGTGATCCTGTCCTCGA